TCTCTCTCTGTAGCGCAAGGAAAAAGAAGAAAAAAAAGGGAGATTTGAGTCATTATCATTGTCATTGACACAATACACAGCTTGAATTCCAATTTGAGTTTGGGTGTTTTTTTGGATCGCATTGCACAATTAAAATTAGATCTAGATTTCTAGATCTATCCCATGATCTTTGTCCCTACGCGAAAGAGGGTGAAAAAGGGAAAAATTAGGAAATGCTAGATCTAGATCATTTCCATCCTTCTTTTCAAACGCCCTGTGCCAATAATATTTTGTAGTATTCACACACCCTGTGCGAATAACATTTCTAGTCTGGTATTCACACAGTATTCACGCACTCTGTGCGAATAAAATTTCACAATATTCACACAGTATTCACACACCCTGTGCGAATAAAATTTCATAGTATGATCGCACACCCTGTGCGAATACAATTCCATAGTATTCACACACCCTGTGTACAATATTGTACCGTACAATTGTGCGAACAACTCTGTCTAGATCCGTACAACATTGTACGCACAATTGTACGAAGTGCTGCAGGTATCCGTACAATAGTAGGCCTGTATGCCCACAGGCCTACTACCTACATGTTCTGTCTTAGTAGATCTAAAAATCTAGATCTAATCTAGACCTAGAGATTCTAGATCAGTGTTTCCAATATTCCACCAGCTGAATTTTTAAAATCCAAGTGTATACAGACCCGGTAACCGGGAACAAAGTCAGGAAGTATACAGACCCGGTAGGGGAACTCTTTTGTGATTTCGGAAAGTTTCAGCTCCCAGGCCCGGTAGTGTGTGTGAGGGAGAGGGAGAGGGAGGGAGAGGGAGAGGGAGGGAGAGAGAGGGAGGGAGAGAGAGAGAGAGAGAGAGAGAGAGAGAGAGAGAGAGAGAGAGAGAGAGAGAGAGAGAGAGAGAGAGAGAGAGAGAGAGAGAGAGAGAGAGAGAGTGTGTGTGTGTGTGTGTGTGTGTGTGTGTGTGTGTGTGTGTGTGACTGCTGGATTGAAATTATGACACTGTTCTTTTCTTTAAATATGTGATTCCTCCAACTCCAAAACGGAGGAAATGCAATCGTTCATCGAAAAGACATCCGCAATCTTCATTTAGATCTAGATATAGATCTAGTCTAGTCTCGAAACTAGATCAATGATTTACAAATGTATGTCTGTCTGTCTGTCTTGATATAAACCTAGGCCATAGACCTATAAGAACCTAGATCTAGGTCTACCCTGAGCCAAGAGGGCGCTGAAACTTTCTGAAATCACAATAAGAGTTTCACTACCGGGTCTGTATACTTTGTGACTTTATTCCCGGTTACCGGGTCTGTATACACTCCCTTTTTAAATTTTTCGTCAGACCTCATCTGCCGATCTGATGCCAGCGCCTCATGCCTCATGTAAAAAAAACCCAACTAGATTTAGATTTAAGTCTAGATCTAGATCTAGACTCTAGATAGATAGATCTAGAAATATGTGTTGCGTTGAAATCATGCTGTAAAAATATTTAAGCTTAATCTACCTCCTTCTGTTGATAGTTCTGATGGCCGAAATGACAGCGTGTCTGCGTTAGAAGAAGTATTATATTTTGAGTGTGGGTTCGAATCCCGGTCCCGGAAGTTTGTTTTTTTCTTCTTCTCCTCTCTCCTCCCCCGACTGACCAACAATTTTTCCCCATAATTGCATGTTTTGACTTCAAAGATTTCCACTCATGGTTTTGTGTAAAAACAAAGAAACATATATAATATAGATCTAGATCTAGTCATAATTATAGATCTACTTATATTTTAATAGAAGTATATAGATCTAGGAAGTGGCTATTCTCACTCGGGGTGAGAATAGAAATACGATCGACCTCTCACCCCGGGTGAGACTTGCCTCCGTAGGCTATTCTCATCCAGTGTGAAACAAGACCTGTCTTTCCTAATTTCGGAATACTTTCTATCGAAGTGGATGATCAAATGGATAAAGGCAAAGAAAAGATTACGTTATAGCACAAAAGTAATCTAATTTTATCGACTACAAAGATGCTATGGCTATTTCACTTTTCGAATCGAGCCGAACTACAGGGTCGCCATTTTGTTTTGCCCGGAAGTTCTCGCAAGATCTACTCCTCCCCTCTTCTCTCTCTGTCTCTTTCTGAATACTATCTATCGGTGTGGACGATCAAATTGACCAAAACAAAGTTAAAAAATGATGTTAACACACAAAAGTAAATTAATTTGGTCATCTACAAAGATGCTACGGCTATTTAACTTTTCGAATCGAGCCGAACTACGCGGGTCACCATTTTGTTTTGCCCGGAAGTTCTCGCGCTACTCCTCTCTCTCTCTCTCTCTCTCCACTGCCCACAGACAAAATTGTATGCTTTTAGTAGGCTAACAGTAGTAATGGAACGTTTGTTCACGGCACAAAATTCTAAAATTTTTCTGTTATCACAGTGTAGAATTCTGTGGTTTAGGGTGAACGCAAAATTGGTTGGCCTAGATCTAGGCTATAACTGTGAACGCCCACTGGGTGAGAATAGCCAAAAGACTCGCCTGCGCTATATCTCACCCGAGAATAGAGGTGGCCATAGATCTAGCCTACTTTTCCTTTTAGGCCTACCAATTTAGGCCTGGTTAAAGTTATGGCCGTCGTAGTCCGAATAACATTTTTTCATATTCGGACTCGAGTTTTTTATTCGGACTCGAGTCCGAATATGAAAAAATGTTATTCGGACTTGAGTCCGGAAAAAAGGAAGTGTCTTCGTTCTATAGATCTAACGTTCAGTGCTTCCATTTTTCCGCCATTTTTTAGTTTCCCCCACACCTTATCTGCCGACCCAATGCCCGCCGCATCATTGATACGCCCCCCCCCCCCCCCTCACGTTTCCCACTTTCTTTGTTGTAGAAAAAGGTAAAATTGAAGATTAGCAGACCACCTGGCACCTGCATATTATGAGCTGTGTAAAAAAAAAAAAGACCGATTCGTTCAAATACACAAGCCTGTGTCATATCGATTGTTTACCAAGAAAAAGTTGTGTTGCTGTGTAGAGCTGAGCATACGGCAACTTTTGATTCCATAGACCAGCGCACAATTCATTACGTAGATCTACGTCAAGACTAGCTTATTATTGTAATAATGATCAGTTGCCGGGGGGGGGAAAAGACTGACGCGTATGCGACGTTCAAAGCCCGGACCAATAGTGCCCCCCCCCCCCCCCCACCACGCACACAGCAACATGTGTGCAGGCCACCCATCCGACCCCGACACACGCTAACGAGCCATCTTTAATTGCTTCTGATGACCTCTTGACAAATAAACATTTATTAGAAGCGCTATAACTTTTCAGGCCGGCCTCAAATTCATCATAAGATTAAAACTCGGCACCTGCACAAAACGCCTTTTTGCCCGTACTGATCCCGGTCTCTACCCAGCCTGAGGCGAGTCACGAGTGAGGCAGGACAGGAAGCCGGATTCACGAGTCACAGGAAGTCGGAAGTGATGTCATGCTGGACAAGAATCAGAGTCCGAATAACATTTTTTCATATTCGGACTCGAGTCCGAATAATCACTTCGTAAAGTTATTACATTGATGCCCAACCCAGGGGAGAACCAACTGGATATCTAGATCTAGATCTAGATCTAGTGGTCTAGGCTTATTTTTACCAACAACCTTCAAAATTCAAATAATTGTACGAATAACTGTCTGGTTATTAGTACAATTGTACTAATAACTTACTAGATCTAGATTCTAGATCTAGTTAGAGTTGTACGCACTATTGTACAAATAACCGCAGCCTACATTATTGCGCGAGAATGTGGGGTAGGTAGGGCGGGTGGTTGGGGTGGAAGAGGGGGGTGGGGGGGTTCAGGAGGGTCTCCCCCCTGACAAAATTTGAATGAAAAGATCTACCGGTCCGAGATTCTCCATTGAGAGATATTAAAAACCAGGAAATTATGAATTCCTAAGGTTGAGACATAGATATCTAGATCTCTAGAATCTAGATCTAGAGGAATCTAGATAATCTAGATCTAGGCAAAGTCAGTATGCTGGTCCGGTATTCTTCAATCTTACCTTCAAATATATTTGCCTTGGTCATCAAGACTTCTGGATTTTTTCTCTGGATGTAAACAAATGGATTGTGGACTTTAACGAACGGAACAGATCACCAACTATTTTTACTGCCCGGGCTTGTTCTTTGTATCACAGTGTTTCACTAATCTACAATCTAGAAATCTAGATCTCTAGAAATCTATTAGATCTAGATCTAGATCTAGATCTAGATCTAGATCTAGATCTAGATCTAGATATATATAATCTAGATCTAGATTCTAGAATCTATATATATAGATCTAAATCTATATCTAGATTTATATCTAGATCTAGAATAGATCTAAATATAGATCTAATATAGATCTAGATCTATATCTATATCTATATCTATACTGGATTATCTAGATCTATATTATCTAGATCTAGAGTCTATTATATCTAGATATCTAGACCTAGATCTAGATCTAGATCTAGATAGATTAGATCTCTCTCATTGCCTGTCTCTTACAAACTCTTAGAATGTAGAATCTAGATCTAGATCTAGAATCTAGATCTAGATCTAGATTCGAGACGGATAAGAATCAACAAGAAAAGTGCTTGGTCTAACTTAGTGTGTGATGGGTCCATGAGTAAAATAATAAGCCTAAAACCTATCCACCCTTCCGTTACCACAAAAATGGACTTTGACCCCACCGTCGCCATTTTTCTGTGGCTCCAGCTGATTATGACGTCATGAATGCTTCACAAAGAACGAGTAGGAGAGAAACAATTAAAAAGTTAATCTGCAAAACACGTTTGGACAAACAAAGCACATTTTTACAATTTGTAATGTTATTAAAACTGTCGGATATGACTAATAGTTGTGAAAAAGCGCATTTTCAATCACATTGAAAGCAATGCCAAAGTAAATTTAGATATCTGGAAGATCTTCCAGTAGCGTGGAAAGGCAAAGTAAGTGACAAAACATACCTTGTCAAGAATAACTTGTCCAATTTGCTTGGGATCGAATTCGATTTCGTGAAACTGCTTGTTTGGAAGTGTGATATAACACGTAAACATTTTGCATGTCTCCTTCTTTCTAGTTCAATATGAATTGTTAAAGACTAGAGTCTAGTCTAGATCTTGATCTCACTCAGCTGACTTGCTTTACTATTCGGCGGAGAGCAGTGAGCAGCGGAATAAGGTTTTTCCTTGCAGCTGAACCCGTGTGCCCGCTTCGTTTTACTGTTCACGCGGGGTCGCGATGACTTCGCTTCGACCAATGAAAAAGGACATGCCCTTAATCTTATCCAATCAGCTCTCTTGAGTAGGAGGAGCTTTGTGACCAACTTTCAAGCCAAGGCCTAAATCTAAACAATAACAAAGCCACATGTTAAGAAGAGGGCTGTGCGCTTGCTTGCTGTCAGGCAGGAGTCGACGTGAAATATAACGCAAGCTTATATCACGTTCATAGCAAAGCACCACGAACGCAAGCTTTATTCCCGATGCTGACATCATTCTGCTTTTAAAGCAAAATTGGCTGTATGGACACACCACAAAGAAAAAACACGAAGTTGTGGTCATAATGTCAAATGTCCCGATCCCAACCGCTATCTTCTCGAGACTTTCGCTTTTTCCTTTGTTTTTTTTCTGAACGGAATAATAGATTTTACCATTTTAGAGAAAGATTACACAATTCATGCGATTTTAAAGGCAAATGCGGCGATTGGCGACTTTTCCCCCTTTCCCGGTAAACACATAATTCGTTAGTTTTGTCTGTTTGATTTGTATTGTGGAGAAAGAAAGGTGTTCTTGGGGCTCTCATAGTCTAGAGGTTAGAGTTAGAGTGTTCGCCAGGGGCGGCTCGTGGGTCTAAAAAGTGGGCGTGCACAATAAGGTTAAAGCAGGTTGAAGATAGTCAAGGGCATGTAAATTAGATGTTTTCTTCATCCTACCTGTTTTGAGAAAATCTATTTGAAGAAGAAGCTTTCCTTTCGTTCTTTGGCTGGCGCAAAAATGTCCATTATTATGTTGACGAAGTTGGGTATGCTGTCAATGATGTCCTTGTGGATCGACATAAACGTACGTCAGTGCGATTTCTGGTATTTTGCATACTTCTCTCAATGTTGTCTCGAATTTGTAGTCCTTCAGAGTTGAACAAAGGCCCTGGATTATTCATGTACGACACTGAGCAGATTTAAATATTTCATTGCAATGTAATACTTATAATTCTGTTTGTAATTTGATCTTAAGCAAAACAGTAATATTTCTGTCATCATCATCATCCAGTGCCAGATCTGCGACAGACATCGGCGATCATGATTTTCCATTCATTCCTTTGCTCGGATGCTCTCAGAAAAGCTACGTTTCCCCCACAGAATTCTACACTTATAGAACGGGAACTGTACCACGTGACCTGTGAGGAATTGAAGACCGAAAACAATGGCGTCTTGAGGGCACGATTTATCGTTTTCGGAAGTAACCCTATAGCTTTTAAAGCAAGAGCGACTTTTACAAACGAGTGAAAAATGGAACATTTACTGTCCAGTTTGTAATTTTGAGTTACAGAATTCACTGTGCAACTAGAGATTGGAATCAAGGTTTTAAATTGTTGTGTTTTTGGGTACAACAACAGAAACAGCAGACATAGAGAGTTTATAAATATAAGATCTACAGAACTGTGAAAAAATTCGTAACACGGATGGGATTGTTCACAGCACTTCTAGTTTCCCACACACATTTTGCATACGCATATATGGCCTACGTAATTTTTTTGTAGCAAAACTTGTTACAAGAAATTTGTTTTACACTGAACATACTAGATCTAATTAATGTTCTCAAAACATGCGTTCAATAATTAACTTTATGTCGCCAGAAAAAAGGACGGACTTGCTTTTAAAAGAGATTTAGCTCCAGCTATAAACTTTTTAAAAATCTGTAGAAACCAATGACTGGGATTTTTTAAAATATATATTGGGCAAGTATTTATTAAAGAATTTTCTTTAAGGAAATTTCTAGAATAATGTAGAACCTATAGATGTGTACAAATGTTTGAAAAAAATACTCATCGGTTAAGACGAATTGATATAGATCTAAGTCATTGTGTAAAAGTAGGAGAATCTAGATCTAGGTGTTCGATAGTTCAGTAGCCTAGATAGTTGATAATAAGTTGCGCATCAAATTTTTGACCGCATGCTACAGTCGTAGAGATAGCGTATTATTTTCATCCGAAACATTAATTTCCTCATCCATACACCTTTTTGGGCCTTTATAAGCACATGTAGTCCTACTTTAATTATGTTACTTTCATAATTGTTTTTGAAAGCATTTTCAATTCCTTTCACTTTCACTTCCCACGCACGGGCTCATATAATTATGATTATAATTTAAGATTCCAAATCTGACGAATGTATAGCGTATAATGCTGCATTTGAATACACACTCGAGTAATAAAACTTTCCCCACTACACCATTCCAACTTCTAACACAATGACCTAATTACGTCATGTTGACCTCGCTCAAGTTCAGGGTTACAGAGGTGGGCTAGAGATATAAATGGCAAGACAATGGACCAATCGCACATCGCTGGAAGCACTCCGGTGGGTTGCTCCAAAGCTGTCATAATACAGGCATTGAATTGTGTAGGCTGTCGTGAACTGGTTTGAGATTGCGTTATTTTTAGACTGCCTCTATGGGCTTTGTTCGGCTGCTGCACGTCGAGATTGTGCCGCCTTATTAATATTTATGAATTAAGAAACTCGGTCAAAACGTCATCGTTGTTTGGGTCGTCCCATAGAGCATTTTCCGAGATAGATTACACCCCTGAACATACTATTTGTTACTTGGGTGAAGCAAAAGAACTTGGTATAGTATATTAGATGTTGTAGAGCTGTTGTAGATGTTAAAGGAGCGAATAGGCTCTGGCGAGGAACTTGTACGTAAAACTGATTGGATGATGGATGGTAAAGGTTCTTTTGTTGTCATTTTAAGGGTGTTGTGCGCTAAAATTTTTGGGCGGCAGTGCACGACCGTGCTCTATGGACCAGCCGCCCCTGGTGTTCGCCTTTTATTCAATAGGTCAGTAGGTTGCGGGTTCGAATCCGGGTAGCGTCGAAAAATGTTCCTCTCTAAAAAGTTATTCTTTTCACATCCTTTCCTTCTCCCTAACGATGTTCAGTCGTCTGCTTTCGTCTCCCCTTTCTGCCCCCATCCCCGCGCTCCGCACTTCCTTTGCCCCCTCCTGTATGTGCTCCTGGCTCTTTCTGCAACCTTTCTACTGCTACTCCTTGGCTACTTATCGTTGTCTTTCAGCCACACTCCTGATCTTATGCATGTAGATCTAGCAGGTAAGATCAGCACCTAGCCATCTTGGATAAAGGCAAAACATCTCGGACATCCCGTGTGCAAGTTGCGCACGTAGTTAAAGATCCCTTGATGGTCCAAAATCGATAAGAGTAGGGTTCGAACGCCACCCGGGACAAAATTCAAAATTTCCTACCAACTATAAATGCTTAATGTGTCCCGCGCACTCATATGACCTATGCAGTTGCGAGAGCCGTAAAACAGTAACCATCAAAGAAGAATAAAAAAAATATGTGGGGTTTTTTTCGGGTTGGGTTTTTTTCCCTCGTTTTTTCTTCTTTTTTTGTTAGGAGTTACGCTCCACTTTTCAAACTATCAACTATTATTTGCAGGTGCAACGATAATGCTCTGTATCTAAACCTGTTTGTTGATAGTTAATTTAGTGCACCACGAATAGGCAGCACATCTTTCGCTCTATAACACTGCCTTTCTACTGAGGGTAATTTGCCATTTACCACCAAAAAAAAAGAAGTTTCATTCTGATATCTAGATTCTATATATAATATGTTACATATTATGATCGTCCGTCGTGGCAAGCTGGAAAATAATAAACGGGGAGTAGGTCTATGGAATATGGAATAAGGAGCGGGGGGTGCATAAAAAAACAACAACTGGTAATTAATAAGCGGGGAAAAGCGGGGGG